CCTAAGTGACCTTCAAATCGACCCGCCCTAGTATATACGCATATATATATACAGGGCCGGTCCTGGGGTCCTCAGCGCCCGCATGAAAATTTGTTCTAGCGCCCCCCCCCCAATAATTTTAAATGTTTTAACAGTTTTCATTAAAATTATATAAGCATTTACTTCTTTTTTCAATTAATTTTTAATCATTTTGGATTTTTGTACACACACTTTAGCACACAAAAAATTATATATAATCTAAAAGCGTATAAAATTTAAAAGTACTTTGAACAGTAAGCAGAAAATAATTTACAATTTTCAGAGTTATTATTGGTTCATTGTTTCTTTTGACATCACATTGCAAACTAAATATGCTTTTTGTGACTCATAGTTAAGTTGGATTGTTTATTATAATCTACTAATTATTCTAGATTTTATGTTTAAAAAAATATATAATAATATATTATAAATTTCATTTGCGAACCTCGTTTTTGGCGCCCCCTAAGGCGTGCGCCCGCATTTTTTGCATGCATTGTATTCAAGGCAGGAGCGGCCCTTGTATATATATATATATATATATATATATATATATATGAGATTCAATCTTCAGGGCAAAACATCATTTAAAAACTTATAAAAACTTATAACATTTTTTATTGTTTCCATATGTTTCGACACATTGTTTTGTGTCATCTTCAGTGGAATGTAATTGTAATATTTCTAATTAATTTCTAATAATAATTATTCACAATTGCACTACTAAAACAGTTCTTGTCACTTTAAATCGGAACAATTATATAAATTTTAAGGAATTAATTGTAGGAAAAAAATTTCTTATTGTAAAGAGTGCATGTTGCAACGTCGATGTCCGATGCGACAGACTGTCGAAACAAGTTTTTAATTGATGTATTGCCCTGAAGATTGAATCTCACAAATTTCAACATCAAAATTATTAAAATTTTTAACATATATATATATAATATATATATATATATATATATATGTTTGTTGTGTGTGTATGTGTGTGAACACAGTATACATTATGTAAATTCAAAGATGTAAGTGTAATAGATGCTTTCTACTAATTATCACAGTATACTTGTATTTCGAATGATTGAATCACTTACCAAATACTGGTTTACCAACTTCAGGATTCAGTTTTTTAATCTGTTAAGAATAAAAACATAAAGCACATTAAACAAAAAAAAAACAAGATAATTGTTTATAAATTGTAGGCATACCTCTTTCTTGAAATCGATAGAAAGTTCATCAATGTAATTCAAAAATATTTGCTTAAGAATTTCTCCTTTAGGTGTATCGAACCCAGTTCGTATTTTGTGTTTTAAATTTTAATAAAGTTGGCGTCATCATTTTCTATTAACGACAGCATCTTTTTCTGTATAAGTGAAATAAAAAGCATTGAAATTTAGTTTTAATATCTTAATGGTAATGTACTCCTCCTAATTTGAACAAGATCATATTTATTGTTTTTCATCATATTCTGATAATAATATTTTCAATATCTTGTGATAGCAGTAATTCAAGCAAACCAAAATTAAACTAATTATGTGCAGATAACAGTGCCAATGTATGTAATTAAGAGTATTTTGAAAATAATATAATCATGAGTAATTATGTTAGATTACATGTTCAGATATTTTACTGCACAAGTGCATTTCAATTTCATTTCAAATATTATAACGCGGTAAGGTATAATTAGTATTAGGTATAATTAATTGTAACAGTTATAATATATTAAGCAGTTAATACTGTCTGTAAAATCTTCTTTCCTTGTTAAATCTTTTCAAACAAAAATATGCAAACACACTTTATAAAATGAATAATGAATGTTTTATTTAAAACTATACTTACATCATCAACATGTGGTTCTTCTTCATCCGTTTCCATTCTCATTTCTTCTTCTTCACAAGTGTTGTTTTTTTTAGCACCCACAATTAAAAACTCAGGTTTCATTTGTCTCAAAGACAAAATTGTCAGCGCATCACACACAATAGCTAATTCATCAGGGCCGTTGGAAGATTCATCAGTAGAAAGACTCCAAGGTTCTAACAAATATAATATGCATATATAATAATAGGTAATTATACTTATTATTATAAAAAATTATCTAATCATTTTCAAAAGTAAGAGTTTTTATTATTATAAAAAGTACAATGGTGTTCAAGGTGGATATTTAGAAAAATTACAAATTGTGAAAGTCATTTAACTTTTAAATTGGTTGTAATATCCAAAATTTGAGTAAACACCGTTTATAAGAGTATTCAGCCCGGACAATGTGAGTATATAATATATTCATATTATATTCTCATTATATTATTCATATTGGTAGTCAGATTATCATAATAATTCATTACTTGCGATGAATGCTAAAATGTTAAAAATTTCAGTGTGTTGGTAAGGAACCAAATCATGTATGTAAAAAAACACATATTACCTACCTAAAATATTATTGTATAAAGCTTGTACAGTTTATATCGAGATTGTTCCCTCATATTGAAGACCATATATCGATACAAATTATGTCGAGTAATTATCATTTCATCACCATTATAAGAAAAAGCCTTTCCTAGAGCTAAAGATGAAACCTAAATAGAATTTATAGAGAGTTATATATGTATATTATCACTAATCACTAATCTAAAGTATACTAATTTATTTAGGAAGTGACTTGATTTCAAATAAAATTGAATTTACATTTTGGTATGTAAAGCTCACATTTTATATTGTATAATTATGTACATAATAAAACAAAATAAAAAGTAAGTCCTTAAGAAAAAACAATGATATTTGATCAAGAAATATTAATATACAGTAATGGACAAATTAAATAAATAATTGAATTTAATACTCACAGAGAAAAGAAAAGAAAATACTTATTATTATTATAGTTGATCCCAATGAATGAAGTACCACTATTAACACTTTAACAATTTAGTTTAATTAGACTAAATACAGTAACATAATTAAAAATCAAGTACATTTTATTAATTCTAATTTAGTTTTTAATCTTTATTTATTAGTACACAAAGAAATTTACCTTGTTATTGTGAAAGTATATCACGCTCAGCAGCATGTCATGTAAAAAATCTTTGTCTTGGCTGGCTGTTGCCTTTTGTGAAATAAAGTACTCCACCACACATTTACATCTTTCTGTTCGTCCAATACCATTGAAAAGTAGCAAACCATTTGTTCTTCGTTGAGTTTAATGTAGCCATCAGCCATTAATTCAGTAATCAGACGAGCAGCAACTGCGCGCACACGATTCTCACAACGAAAACAGAGCAATAATACATCCAAATGTGGTTCCACTAGCCTTGTGTACCTGAACACAAAATTAATAGATAAATAAAATATTTTTCATTTAATTAAATATATGTTCATACATACAGTATCTCATTCTGACAACAGACATAAATTGTTATTCATAATAGTTTATTCTTAAATCTATTTCACAATTCTTTCAGATAAATAATAATCATAAAGTTGTGACTTAATACTTTTAAAATGTTTCATTTGATATTTTTCAAATATATATATATATATATATATATATATATATATATATTTACTAGCATATTTTTTACACTGGAAAAAAATAATTTAAGTCAAAAAAGTTTCAAATGCAAAGATTGAACCCAAAAATGTGACTAATTTAAACATTTCTTTATCCACATAACGTCATAAATAATTATCTGTTCGATGTTGTCAAATATAGGTGATAAAAAGAGATGTTTTAAGTAGTATTGTTTCACTTTAATACCTAAATTATCAAAAGAATGAAAGCAA